AGCTATAGTTTTAAGTTTAATTACATTTATACAGTTAAAGAGAGCACTTGGCTCGTGAAAGGGAAAGCCCGATAACTGACGATATTAAATAATTGGCGCCCAACACTAATAGGATCCACTGGACCTGCAAGCTACAAGGAGTGCATCACCAATCAACCCAATCAACTTTTAAGTAGCAGCTGGATCCAAGCAATGATCCTTGCCAGATCTATTTAACGGAACAGGATCGTGAAAAAACATCATTCTCTATAAATGGCGGGAAATACGAATTGTAGATTGCCTTTCGGCTTGAAAGATGCAAGAAGTATATTCCAGAGAGCAATCGATGATGTATTGCACGAAGAAATTGGAAATATATGTTATGTTTAATCTGACGACGTAATAATATTCTCAGACCATGTCCGACATATCGACACGGTACATCGAAAGTTGATAGACGCCAATATGAGAGTCGCATGAATTCATTGTAGCCAGAAGAGGAGCAAAAACAGACCCCGAGAAGGTAAAGTCAATACAAGAGTTTCCCGAACCAAATACATTGTATGCTCTAAGGTTCTTCCTTGTCCTCCCCAACTACTACATAATTTTTATTAAAAATTTCGCTTCGATAGCAAACCCTTTGACAAATATATTAAAAGGAGAGAACAGTACAGTCAGAAAATATATTTCAAAGAAAATATTAATTCATTTTAATGATGAACAACGAAGTGCTTTCGAACATTTAAGGAAAATCTTGGCTTTTAAAGATGTAATCCTGATGTATCCGGACTTCAAAAAACCTTTCGATTTAACCACAGATGCGTCCGATAGTGGAATCGGGGCGGTTTTGTCCCAAGAATGTAGACCAATAATTATGACCTCGCGGACATTGAAAAACAACGATTTGTATTATGCCACCAATGAAAGGGAAATGTTAGCTATTGTTTGGGCCCTATGTAAACTCAAACGTAATTGTATGGCACTAAAGAGTTGAATATTTTTATTGACCATCAACCTTTGACTTTTGCAGTCTCCGAAAAGAACAATAATGCAAAAATTCAAATGTGGAAGGCATTCATAGAAAATCACAACGCAAAAGTTCGTTATAAACCAGGGAAAGAAAATTACTTAGCTGATGCTCTTTCCAGACAAAATGTGAAAACGTTGCAAGACGATTTGTCTCATGATCTGTCCTCTGTTTCTAACACTGACCCTATAGTAATCCTTCGATTAGACAGAAGATTCAAGTGGCTAAAGACGACACGGCAAACTCCTCAGCCGTAGATCACACTCTATTAACTACATTTCTTATTTTCACGTTGTTACCAACCACTTTTTCTCTCTTTTCCTAACATTCTTCTAGGATGAACACAATGGCCCTATAGGTCTACGAGTGGAGCGGTTGCCATATGGTAACCGCGCGTCCTTTAACCTAACCTTAACTTAACCATCACTTCACTACTTAAAAACCAATATGACATAGACGTAGTTAATGCTCCTGCTCTGCATAACTGCACAAAATGGCCAAGTGGAACGGTTCCACAGTACATTAATGAAAAAGAAGTAAGAGACACATGCACCAGAAACCCAATTAAACCGGTTTAACTTAAACAGGCAGAACAGAGTTTTGAAGTCGGCGAAACAGTGTATCTGAATACAACAAATGATTAGGCAACAAATTGTCCTCCTTATATTCTGAGGAAATTATACAGGCTGACCTGTGTACTTCAGTACTTATTAAAGGGAGGGTGGTCCACAAGGACAATTTGAAATGACGGATATTTGTCAAAATTGTTAATTTAACAATATAAATCGAGGTACAATGCTTGAACATTAGCTGATTCATTATTTTCCTTCTACATTTATTCATCATCATAGCCGTAGCAAATGCTCGCGTCACAGACTATTAACACTCAAGGTACATTCCTGTGTTAGGTGGAAGAATTTTAGTATGGGAACAATATAGTCAGATTTTTTGTGGCAGGAACTCCGGACGCCGCAGACGTTGAAAGACTTAAGATGTCGGTGTCACAACTTATAAAATCAAACAATAGGCAAGTCTTGATTAATACAGAAACTCAAAAACAAGTAAACCGGATTACAGACGCGGTTAACAAAATCATAAAAGAAACTAAGAGAACACGCCGGACACATTTCATTTATACAATATACTCTTGGCTAGAAATAGAATGGTTATAACAGAAATTCAGAATTTAATGTCAATTTTTGATAATAATGATTTGAAGTCTATTTTTGTTGAAAGGCTCACAGAAGTATCTATTGTTAACCTAATGCAAATTTCTAATGTGAAGATTTTATGTACTCATAGAATACCCTAGAGTAGAGTCCAGCTGCCAAGAGGAAATAATATTTCCTGTAAGCTACAACAACAATATATTGCAGTTGGAACATCACACCGTTGCCGAATATGGCGATAGGGTCATAGCTGTCAACAATTGTGCAAAGACCAACCAAGCAACATTCTGCAGAGTAATGAAGCATGATACTTGTGCGGGTGCAATTCATTCAGAAGGTTCTGTCGAATGTCACACCCAACAAAATTTGTGGACGAGGGCGTGATTATAATCAATGAACAATCCACGCGAGTTTAAACAGATAACAGCCCTGAAATAAGCATAAGGGGTACTTATCTCATTACCTTTGAAAATACAGCTACCATAAATGACACCAATTATGTCAACCACAAGGAATGGTAATGAAAACACCAGGAATATGATCTTCACATTTACTGGATATCATTGGCTATATCGAAGTGTAAAGCCTGCCTATGCTGCACCGTATGAATGAGCAAAACCTGCGAATCATTAAAGAGCTTAGGGATGACGTAACATCGGATTGTTCTCCAAAGATGTTTTTAGCCATTGCAAAGACCGCCAGTCTATCGTTCAGTGGCGCTAACATCCTTTGCCAAAATTAAAAAAACAAGACGTGCTTCTAAAAAAATGCAACGAGTTGTTGAAAGCTACGCCGTGGCTGGGACACCCACATCTTAAAGGGAGAGTAGTTAACAGGAAATAATTTATTAATAATAATTTGCATCCACTTATTACTTGATATAACAATTAAATTGCCATATGCATTTTGTCCAATCTTTACAGTTTTATGTCTTTGATAAAGGCATCATTTGAAACGCATCTCCAACAAGTTGTCAAATGAAGGAATTATTTAAAACGGTTCGGGAGGTGTATCGTAATTATTGATTTTTTGGATCCGGATTTTTTTAAATCATAGTTGACAATATAATACAACAGGGTGAGATAAAAAAAAAAACTGCAAATATTCGGCATTTATTCTGATGCCACGGTCGATTAATACGAGCGGAGAGCGACCATCGGCTGTTATGGCGGCCCATACCAACACCATGGCCGGCGCTTGAGTTCTGGTGGCCAACCGAAGTTGCACATTTTCAGCTGACCTCTTTCGCAGGTAAACATGATAATTTTGTTTGTTTACAAACTGTTTTACAACGAAGGTTTTCTCATTGGTGAAAAACAAATTCGGCAGTTCACCATTTTCGGCCGAGTGAAGCAATTCTTTAGCTCTTTTCAATATTTGCCGAATGGAATATTGCGATATCTTCACCTCACGGGCCATCTTTCGGCCACTGCAACACGTGTTCTTCTTTACATTTCGCTTCTTTACTTTTCGAACCATTTCTGTTGATTTTGCTGTCTTTTTCCGTCCACTACGCTACCAGTATCACTGTAACGAGCGATGATACGAGACACAAAAGATTTATTCACATTTAAATTCTGGAGTGCTCTAACGATTTGGTTTTCCAGCCAAATATAAAGAATATCACGCTTGAATTCCATCACGAATAACTTTTCTGGAAAATTCTCACCAAAATGCTTTTGTACGCTTGTAAACAATATAATGAGCTGTCACTGGAATAATTTTAACAACTGTCGGACGAGTGGCTTAGAAATGACAGCAGTCTGAAGTTGGTTGCAGTTTTTTCCATCTCACCCTGTCTGTGTTATTATTTTCCTTGGATCCAGAGATATGAGTCTTTGAACCCGAAAGAACCGATTATGTTCAGTACATTGAAATGATGCTTTCAGTTAAAAAAAAAACTTTACTTCACGCTGCCCGTTGTAGACATACCAAGAGGAAAAATATCAAACCCCGGCCGAAGGCCCGCTAATTTAATGGAGTATCAATTAAGAAAAACTTTGGTCCGCGCAGCCGGTGTTGGGCATGCTGGACCCAGAAGAGAAAATCTCAAGTTCTCAAGTCTTCTTAATAGGTGTATCCAAATTGGGAAAAATATGGATCGCGAAGCCTGGTGTTGGACATATTCAGAGGTGAAAATCTCAAGCACAGGTATCAAATTTAGAAATATTTTACTTCACGTATACGATGTTGGACATACCCCAAGGAGGATATCTCAAGCACCGCCTACCGCCTACTTGTGGGGATTTTTTTTTTTAAAAATGGGGGTCCAAAAATTCTATAATATTGATACACCTACCGAACCGTTTTAAATAACTCAATCATGTGAATACCAGTTGGATAGACTTTCAAATAATACCCATATTGTCATTATCAGTTCAGTTGATCCGAATCTAACCCGGGTTTTGAACCCGGACTTTTGGGTCAAACATCCATTTCCATGTTCCCATTTCCCGTAATCTGGGTTCAAAAACCTAGTTTTTACTAAAGTTGTTTCCTCTAGACCAATCTAATTTTGGCTCGGTTCGATAAATCTGGATCTAGCCCAGGTCTTTAATCCGGACTTTTGGGTCGAATACCCGGGTATCCGGATACGCCCCCATTTCCCGGAATCAGGGAAAAAATATCTAGTTTTTACTAAACTAAAGTTGTTCCCTCTGGACCACTCATTCTAATTTTGACTTAAAATGGGTTTAGCTCCAGCTGGCGCAAAATTCTGATTTTTTTTCTTTTTTACAAAAGAAATTACAAATTTAATATGCCCTCCCTTCCACTATATCTTTATGATGTTCTAAATGTTACCTTCAAAACCAAACCAAATTAAATTAATTTGTGTCTCAGCTATTTATTTTAAAGAAATTAGATGATTTTATACATATCAATTATAAGTAAACTGCAAAAAATATAATTTAAGTGATTATTTGTAGAATTCATGTTCTTGTTCATCCTTTTTAATATTGTTCTTATAGCCTTTCTCGAAATCTTTTGATAAAACAATGTAACGATTTTCTCTGACAGCATGCATACCAGCTTCCTGACAAATTGCATTTATATCTGCACCGGAAATTTTGTCCGGGCGAGCTACAAACTCCTCCAGATCTACGTCTTCACTGAGGTTCATCTTAGACGTAATTGTAGAAAATACAAGACGCTTTTGGCGCCTATCTGGCAGTGGGAATTCAATTTTTCTATCCAATCGTCCGGGACGGAGCAGAGCTGGATCCAGTGTATCTGCACGATTTGTGGCCATGATAACTTTAACATTAGTAGTTTGGTCAAAACCGTCCATTTGATTTAGTAACTCAAGTAAAATACGCTGTACTTCGCGATCAGCTCCGGTCTGAGCATCGAATCGTTTCGTTGCAATGGCATCGATCTCATCAATAAATATGATAGCCGGAGCATTTTCTTTAGCTAAGCGGAAAACATCGCGAACCATACGGGGACCTTCGCCAAGATATTTCTGCACAAATTCTGAGCCAACTACTCTTATAAAGGATGCAGTTGTATGGTGGGCAACCGCCTTTGCTAACATGGTTTTGCCACATCCAGGAGGTCCATACATAAGAACGCCACGCGGAGGATCGATACCTGTAGGGAAAATCGTGTGCATATTGTTTTAGTCGCATTTAATACAAAATTTACAGCATCTATAATTTTTGAACTAAATTATATTATGCGCTAATAGTAATGTTAAAGATAATTTTGTATGTATGTACAACTTCATAACTTTGTATGTATGATTTATAGAAAAAGATCCTACTGTTTTTGGGCTTTACATTTATTAAAAAACAGCGAATGATGATTAAAAACATAATACCAATTGACTGTTACAAAGATTACACCCAAACTTTTTCAAAGACCAGGGGGTATGAAAACAAATGGATTGATGTTGCATATCTCCAAGCCATGTACCAATTTGGCTTAAGTTGAGTTTAGAGGCTATGCTCGGATTGACCTGAAAATTTTAACAAGTGTAGATCCTTTTAAACTGATTACGCGGAGTATTTTTTGTGCGGGAAATACCCGGTTACCCGTTTATTCGACCGGGAAGTTCGGATGCAAAATCCGGTTCGACAAAACTGAAATGTACAAAATGGGAGTTGTTTGAATGAAAGGTATTTTTGTACCGGAACTTTTTGAAAAACTCGTAAAAAGTCGAAAATAGGCCCATTATGGGGTATTAAAAATTGCATACTTCATTGTAGCCTACACTCTGCCCTTTCCAAAATGGTACCATAGATATTGATATCTCTTGTAGTTCCGAATGTTACAAATCATGAAATTGAGATTTTCTCCACTAATATGTATCTACCCTTTATAGCTTTTTACTTCCGAAGATATTGACTTTAAAGTCGAATACCGGCTGTTGGACATATCCTAGAGGAGAAAAGAGCAGACCCACTTACCACTTACAAAAATTACAAAGTTTAGAAAAACTATGGATCGGTGTTGGACATACCCCAGAGGAGAAAATCTCAAAAATTAAAATGTTTAGAAAAACTATACATCGCTTAGCTGGTGTTGGATATACGCTGTTGTTGCAGCATAAAAAAAGTTAGATGACAAATATCTTTGGAACTAGAAGAGATATCAGCACATATGATACCATTTTGGAAAGAATATAGGCTATAATGTAGCATGTAGATCTTAACACCCCATAGAGGGTCCATTTTTGAGTTTTTATGGGTCTTTCAAAAAGTTTTCGTATAAAAGTACCAATTTTCTTGCATTACTCCCGAACCGGTTTCAATAACTCTATCATATTGCACTTGTTGGATAGGTAATTCATAATGATGCCCAGTTTGTAAAACCGTATGTTGTATTCGTATCCGGCTAGCCCCTAACTCAACTTGCTCCTTATTTTTATTCCAATTCGCCTAAATAGGAAATGCATTGTGAAAACATTGCACTTACCAATTTGCTTGTATAATTCAAAGTGAGTTAAAGGCAGCTCAACTGCTTCGCGAATCTCTTGCTTTTGCATATCCATACCACCAATATCAGCGTAACTGACATCAGGTTTTTCATCGGGTTGTAACATGGAAATAGAACTATCAGCTTCTGGTGGCAAGACATCTACCAAAGCATTGCTGTGTTTGTGAAGGGCTACTGAAGCCGATGGTTTCAGCAATTCTCGGTCAATTGTCGAAAGAATGCGAACGTAATAGTTTGAACCAGTTGTGGATCCAACTATACCAGTATTTTGGTCGACTGCTTCCAAAAATTGCCCTATTACTAAAGGTACGGATTGAATACGCTTAACCTCTTCCTGAGCGTGCAAGTATTCCTTTTTCAGATTGCGCTGTTCATCTTTTATGTATTCTTCCTGGACCTCTAAAAATTCCAAAGTTTTCTGTAATTTCTGTAAATAAAAAAAAAAATATTGGTAAAAAATCTCTCCATTTTCCGGGAAATGAATATCATACCTTATATCGTACATACAAATCATCTATATCTAATTCGTCCAGCGAGCTATGTGCGTCCTTCAGTTTAAAATCGAATAACTCCTCCTGAAAAAGGACAATAATAGATTATATTCTCAGCTATAGTTAATTTCAATTCGAGTTTTACTTTTTCTGGCACCAAAGTCTCCATAATAACTTTTTTCGGTAAATTCTGCTATTGTACACAAATATTTGTTGAAAATGCAATGACTTGTTAAAAAGTCTTAGGGGTGTATAAATCGACTTCAGACTTATCTCAGAACAACGATTTTCACCAATCGATTAATGGGTACTATAATCACCAAATTATCTGTTTGTAGGCTCCATGTGAACCCGTACTACTGATATCTGTTATACCATAGTAGAAGAATACAGGGAGATGCATCATCGCTTGAGAATATTGATATGTCACAAATTATAAAAGGTTTTTTGAAATATACGTAGATTTTAATAAATGTAATTGTAAGACCTCAATCGGATGTTATTGTAATATAATATTTCAACAACATTTAAAAATCTATTAAACAGCGAATGTAGAGTGTAAATAAAATAAACACTGGTAAATCCGGTAATTTACAACTATTTTTTTCTTTGAGATTATATAGAAACAACTATTTACAAAAAATAAATGTTCTCTTTAGAATTTGGGAGCTACACTACACCAATTAATGTTGTAACATCCATGGCGCAATTACAGAAGGTAGAACTAATATACCAACCAAATACACTTTTGTCTTTAAGGGCCTCTATTCTGTCAAAACATATACATACACAGTTTCATGGCACAATTACAGAAGGTAAAACAAAGCTACCCCCAGAATACAATATATTTCTTTTGGTGCCCTTATTATGTCAAAACATTTACACATTTTGTGTATGTGTGTGTATTGTTTTGTATAAAAAATACAATAATTTGAAATTATTTCAAATTCGGTTGCAAAATAAATGCATATTTTCGACGTTGATTGGCAACATATAACATTTTAGGATAAAACTGTATTGTTCTACTACATTAGATACTATCTTGTGGAATAACTCCAAAATTCCATTCTTTTTTCGCGGGTTTTCCTCAATATAAGAATTTTATAATAAGAAATGAAAAATAAACAAAATCAACTGTTGTCTATTTGACACTATAAGACTCCAGCACAGAGTTGCATTTTTCTAGTTTCTTTGAAGTTTTTCAACCTTTCTTATTGAGCCATGCACAGTTTATATATACAAAAAAATGAAATTGTTTCAAATTTAATTGGAACAGAAATTCATATATTCCACATTAACAGGCAACGAAATGGGATAAAACAAAATGGTCCCTCTATCTAAGAATCAATTTTGTGAAAAAACACTTCGGTTCGACAACACGTCAACCACCACACATAACACATCCGAAATCGGAAGTTACATCGGTCTTTCGGTTCGAAGTCGGGCCGAACTCGGACAATTGGTTCGCTGGGAAGCAATTCCTGCTTTTTGCGTTAAGAGGTTTAAATTGGAAAAATCATTTTGTTTTGCCATCTTATACTAGCAGGTTAAAATTAATTCGATCACCTTCATTAAAAAGTAGACGTGTTATGTGTAATTCTATAAATATGTTAAACATTTTAAACGGTAGTGTACCATCTGATTTCCATATTTCATCTTTTAGATTATTGCTGATGAAGTTATCTTCTGAAGCTAGAGTTACTAACGCTTGCTGATTACCTATCATGGTGCGGATCATGATGTGTACGCGATCGCTACCTATGGAGATTGTCGCCCCCTCGGTCATCATGGTTGGGTAATGAGAGACGTTGGGAACATACGCAAAGGCCATGACTCCATTCAAAACAACCAGAATTGATAAGCTGATTAAAAGTCAAATATTCATTTTTATTTCAATATAATGCATTTATTTTCAAACTGCCAAAGTTCAAAAATGTCAACTTTATTTTTTTATATAAATTTATTTTCGTTTTTATTTTCATTGTTGATCTGTTGTATATGAATTAAGAATTCAATAAGTTGTTATTTTGGCTTGGGGTCAATTGCAAAACTAGTATTATATTTTTTAGTTTTGATTTTTTTTTCCAATATTTCGACTATTTTGTTGAGAAAAGCAACAGTCTTGTTTCACCGTCTATGCTAGGTTTACAAACAAGTCTGTTACTGTTCTCAATTATATATTTCCATGAAGATGACAGTCGGCGACAGTCGAAATATTGCAAAATAAAAATCAATATTAAAAATAAAGCACTGATTTTGCGTAAATTTATTTTGGAAACATCAATAATAGGATTAAGCCTGATTATATGCCTGATAAGCGAATTTCCCCTCCCCTCATTTTTCCATATTTGTTACTCAGTGCTAAATTTTCCAATAGTCAGATGTAAACATCCTATGAGAGATTTTCAACTACAAGTTTCGCTCGGTTTACGAGTATATTAAACGGTTACTTCTGCAAATTTATTAAATATGGCATCTCTTCGACGACAGTTTTAACGAAGTTCAATCGAGTACATAAATATTTTTCTCTCAAAGAGATGGAAAAAGAAAAATTTATTTTACTGTGAATTATGAAGTGTTTTTTAGTATTTAGCAGTACTGAAAAGAACTCAATGTTGATTATATTATGGGAATAATGAACTGATTCCGCGGTTTGGGCGCGTTGCCCTCAACAATTACAACAAACTTTTGAATGAAATCTCACAATAGCAATTCCTGCGACTTGTCGCCCGCAGATCCTAAAAAATTGGAAATTTGCCTTCGCCCTTTTAGTTTTCGGCAATAGTCTAAGGGTATCCTTTCAAGAAAAGTTAATCTTATGCTGAAAAAGTATTTTTGTGAAACATCGAATCTTATTAAAGTGTGGACAATTCATAAAACATTTGGAAGTTGTTTGCTCACACACACACATTTTTGACTCCCTTCTTTAAATGGGATGGGTACGTTGTCACGCCAAAGAAAAAAAAAATATACACTTGAAAAGAATTGGATTGGCAAAGGAAAAAGAAACGAGAAAAGGAGTTTACTTGGTGCAATATAAACAAGAGATCTGTGTGTGAAAAGAAATATGTATATATGTGTATATGATTTATTAACTATCATCAGAGAACCGATTGGAACAGTTCACAGCGAAGAAAAATTTGGTACAATATACGAAAAAAAAGAATGCTATAATGATCGCTATTGTTTTTGGTGTTGCAATTACATTGTTTATTTCCAATTCGAATTTTGAATGAAAAGCAACAACAAACACAATATAAGTGTTTGATCCCAAATCGTGCTTGTCGTATTAGTTATCGATGTATCACCGTATTACCAACACCATCTATCATAACAACTGCCTGCCTCGCGGTTCTCAGTGCGTCCTGTCGCTGCCACATGCTGCTTGGTGTTGGTTCCCTGTGTAAGTTACTTTGGTATCTTTACAAAAATGAACCGTAGCAAGAATGATTGGTTGTTGTTATTTATTTTAGTGGGTTTTAAGGTTTGTTGTTGTTTTTGTCTCTTTTTTTATGGTTTTAGATTTTTGCTGTTTGGTAGGTTGAATTTTTTGTTTTCATTTGTCGTTGCTGTTCTTACATTATACAATCACACATCTTTTACCAAATCTTGTGTTTGTGTTTGAGTAACCAATTTCCAAGTTATATCGCGATGGTGCTCTGTGCTTGAGTTGAAGAGAGTGCGTGTGACTCTTGCATTTTTTACAATGCATGTTGACTTTTTCCTCTTTTTTCAATGACCATTGAGAAAAACAATACTTGATCAAAATTCGTAGCCAATCCGCCAAAAGATGTCTTATGATTTCTACGCCCTAATTTCAATTTCACATTCAAATTTGTTAAAAATCGTATGTCATTGATAGAACTTTTTACACCAAGGCTTACACAACATCCTTAATTACAGACAATTTTAATGGGAAGTGTTCTCCAACAGCATTCAAACAAATGAGATGGGCCTCCGGAATATTTCAAAAATCTAGTGCGTTTTTTTCGTAATAAGATTTCCTAACATAATTATAGTTTAAGTTAATTTCAGCAGAACTTTTGCTTTTAGTTAGCCATAGAGACTACTTTTTGTGAATTTCATTAAATAAGATTTGTTTTCTATCAACTTTATCTGGTACAGTGGATTTTGGAATATTTAATTTATATTAACGAACATTTCCCATATGAAAACAGATAGTATAGTTCCTAACCTTTATTATTTTTACAATATTTCCAGATTTTAAATTGAGTACATCCACTTTTCTTCAAAGTACAATACCACATCTCGGAAAAAATGTCACGATTCGGACTTCGAAGTGCTTCAGAGAGCTTAAAATTATTAGATGACAAACCAAATCGCCGAAAAACGTGTAATCCCGTTTCAATATCTATGAAAAGAAACGCTTTGTCGAAAGATATAAAACATGTTACAAATATTAAAGAGGAGAACATTGTTGATGATATCAAAATCGAGATTGATGATGGGGATAAGGTTTCCGAGATAGCAGATGCACCACCGAGAGACAATGTAAATGATGGCGACGACGATGACGATGAGGACGATGATGCTCCAGTTGAGGCTGGAAATGGTGATATATGTTTCAGGCAACATATATCGCCAACTACCTCGTTTAAAGCCAGTTTAATATGTAGTTTACCCCTGGAGCGTATACACGATGTCTTACAAAAACTTAACCTCTCCAATAACCCAAAGCAAATAAACAACAAAGATATGGACGACATTGACGAGTCTTTTGACAACGACGATGATGAGGAAGAGGACAACAATTTATCTAAACAGTCTACTTCAGCTGTGAAGAGCCTATGTTTGTATTGTGACAAGAAGTTTTCATCGCAGAAAATGCAGCTAAAACACGTGGAAAAGTTTCACTGTTTGCAACAAGATCGTAGGTGCAGTGGACGAAATTCGCAAATGCAACAAACGCAGACACCAAAAAAACGGAAGAGCACAACAGGGTCGCAGAACTTTGTTGGCTGTTCATATTGTCCGAAAAATAAAGGCCAGTCTCAGTCAGTCATACTGCCCGCATCGGAATTGAATGCTTTATTTCTTCACCTAGCCGATAGTCATTCTGATAAATATTTTGGTTGCAAAATGTGTGTATTACGGTTTCAGAATGTTTCCAAACTTTCGAAGCATATGGAAGTTGTTCATAAAAGTTTATCATTTGCTTTCGACGAGAGTAGTAGCAAGTCCAAGGACAATGATACCGATTCTCAAATGCTGTCCGATAAATCATTAATTAGTGAAAGAAGTAAATTTTCAATGAGACGACAGCAAAGATCTCAAAAGACAGCAGGCGCAAGCAGTAGTGCGAATAGTACTACCGTCGTCCAAAACACAGTTCAATGTGCTACTTCTATTGTATCGAACTCTTCAATAATTGGCGCCGAAGAACCAATACTCTCACGATTAGGGCTAACTCAAAATCGCTTGCCCAACAATCGCAAAGGGGTTCGGCTACGTAGAGAAAAGCTGCTCTCAGAAATCCTACTTAAGTCCGAACAAATCAATCAACCACCAACCAATTATACAAATACAGCTACTACCTCCTCTGCAGCATTGAACACCGCAACCTGTTCGCCGAAATTACGCGGCAAAGCCATAAAAGCCGTCGGTGGGTCATCCGCTGATACTACGACGGATGTAATTTTTCGTGTGCCCACGCGTAATGATATACTATCTTGTGTGTTTGACGATAATTTCTACAAAGAAGTCGTCGCAAATGTTCGTAATAATTTGCTCTTCCACTTGGACGGAAAAATAATGGGTAATTCTTTGGAATCTCTTGAATCAGCGGTAATGCGGCATAGCATGCAGCCACAAATACGAAGCACCTTAGTCAGAAGTCCTATAGTTATAACGACCGACAGTGAGATACACGCGGCTACCAGCCTCGCTGCCATTACCGCATTTCCCACTCTCCTAACAGCAGAGCAGTTCGGTGGCGAGGGCCATTCCTCTAAAATCCGACGACCGCACACGAAAAATTCTTGGAAATGGAAATGGGACAGTGTTAAAAAATTCAAATTTGTAAACGAAGGTGGCAAGATTGTTAAGAAAATGAAACATCCAATGTTGGGGCTGCGAGACCTGTCTAAACTGGACATGTGGACGCAGCTTACAATGAGACAGAAGCACGAACAACAAACCCAATATCCCACGCAGGCTAATGACGATAGTGAAACGTGGAATGCTTCGGAAATATCCAATGATCCATCACGCGAAGAAAAGCAACGACTTAACGATCAACTTAATATGATTTTAGATACGCGCCTCTTACCGCATATTATTCTGGAACAGAACGAACAGGCGATAATTAAGTTAGAGAACGATGAATTTGGCATTGCTCCCAGTCAGTCGTTAAATGAGGATTGTAGCGATAATTTTATGGAGCAAACATTCGCCGATGAAAGTTTCCTTTCAATGTTGAATTTACTGCCGAGCTCTGACTCTCAGAAATGTCGATCCAGACTAGTTCTAAGTGGGGAATGGGCCCGACCCAGATGCTACCTTTGTATGTGTTGCGGGGCTAAATTTGAAAAATTGAAATCATTGGAAGAGCACAAAATGTTCCGCCATTCGCAAATACTTTCTACGCACTACGAAGTAGTCGGCCGGGAGCTGTTAAATGGCAATCTTTTGCGACATTTGTTCTTGCCCAAGAAGGCTCTAAGCCGATATGCGAATGATATGGGCAGCAATCAAGTTTATAGCGGGGCCGCACGAAGGCTCTTTTGGCATAAGAATGAAACCATAAGCCGAGAAATTACAAATAATGAGGAGTCATCCGATAGTTTACAATCCATGTTAAACAGTTGCACCACAAATACTCTCAGTATTAAGAACAGCAGTAGCACCGAAGACTGCGACGTCGTCGACACAAAAATGGCTACGGTCGCCTCTTTGGGCCTAATGGCAACCACTGCTGTCGTCTCACCCACACACAGTATACAATCTTGTAGTTCATCATCTTCAAGTGTCACTAAATCTAAGGCACAGAGCAGAACACCAACATTGTCTGGAATAGTGTCAGCACATGGAAGTGGGGGGAGTATTTATGGGGGAAATGGCTGTTCTAAGTGTGGGCGTAAATGCAACGGTATCCTGGATTTGTATCGTCATATGTTGGACTGCTCCGGAGACTATGTGTGGTCGTTGGCGAAAAAACGGAAATATCGCTACTACTGTGGTTCAAAGAAGCGTAGGCCGTGCAACAAACACAGTATTCTCGAACTACGGAAAGCTAAAAATGCATCAAAACCCGCGTCGACTGCAAAATCTCCGCCTACAGCCCCAACTGAGAGTACCGAAGAAGCTGGTGGTACGTCCGCGAATTTCACTACGAAAACTAAAACTTCGCCCAGACCTCGACCAAGTGATGGTAAGTACATGAAATTGTTTAATTGTATATGTACATATAACACTGAATGATAATTTATTCCTTATAGCTGAGTCCATTAAGAAGATGCTAGAAAATTTACCTCCGAAAAGGGTCTGTAAGAAAATATTTCCTACCATAAGCAAGACCAAGAAGACCATTAAGAATATGAAGCCAAAACTTCTGGCCAAACATAAAATCTATAATAAACTTCGAAATACTCGTGTCCGTCAGATATCTCAAGCAGCAAAGATATTGTCAAAGACAAAAACACAACTTCAAAAATCCAAAAGGATGACAACACGATCTGCAGTGGCCACCAGTGAAAATCGTAACGAAAACATCAGTAAAAAGCAAACAGTAGCTAAAAACGTCACAGAAAAGGTGGCAGCTACAAAAGCTAAACCTACTGAAAAATCCTTGATTAGTGGAAATGATAACCAAAGTGAGCTAGTAATAAAAAAAGAAGACCTAATGGACCTACCTTCCTCAAAGTCTACAATAACGGCAACTGCCACATCTATTTCTAGTGCTGAAACTAGTGAGAATACGACAAACCACGAGGTTGCGAGAGATGTTCTCGAGTCAAATAGTGGAAATTTAAGCCAAAAATCAAATAGAAACACCTACAAACAAAAAGACGACCCTACTTTGGGAAATGTCGATCAAGTGGACGCGTCGGCGTCAACGTCAACGTCGATTTCCCAACATCTTGCTGGGGAAAGTGACAAAAGCCCTAATCAAACCGAGCAACTGAGTGATGCTAACAAACAAACCGATATTGTTAGTATGACTCAATTGAATCCTGCCAATTTTACTGAAAATGAACGCCAGATGCCAAACAACAAAAATATTAAACGAAGTAAACGCATAAGCGACTGCATAGCAATGTTAACCGGAAAGCTGGAGCAGAAACTTAAAACCGAACAGAAGACTTCATTTCCATCTGGGGGAGAACGATCACTGGCGAATAATATTAGTCAACGCTCAGAGCAGAATACAAGACATGCTCCATCCCTACCTTTGGCGCAAAATGTACAAGAAGAAATGAAATATCTAAGAATTTCACAAATGTATCTGAAGATTTGGAAGTAATCGATAATATTACGACAGCAAAAAAGATACCAAAAAGAAAAACAATTTCCAGGCGCATAATAAAGACAGATGATGGACCCAGTCCTTCCAAATCAATAGAAACGAATGTTGACAGTTCTAGCAACCTTCAAAAAACTACAGAAACAACGCTTAATACGTCTTTATTAATTAAAGATAAAACACCTGCCAGTGTATCAGCAGAAAAATTGAATATCAGCGGACAAATAAAGCCCACAAAAATTGTGGGAAAACCTGCAACAAATCCTGAAATTTGTATTTTTAATGCAGTGGATGTTAAGCAAACTAAATCGATTCCCACAGCAACATTACTTGTCCCACCCATTACCGCCGCCATGCCCTTGAACAATCAACACCTCATGCCCAATGTCCCAATGTATATACCAGTCGAAAATTTTTGTGCTCCACACCTACCAGCCCCACTACCTTCACTACCAATACCTTTGTCAGTACCGGCCCCGCCACTTCAACCAGCTCCCATTCCAACTCCCATCGAGAACACCATACAACCTTCCACTGTGATACATACAGGTCCTGCGCCTACAGCAATTGGGATTATATCCCCACCAACAGCTATACCGTTAATTACAGCGGTACCGCCAGCGCATTTGACGGCCTCCAATTCAATGGCACTACCCGTCGGAACGTTTAGTGTACCAACTGCTTCAGAGCCCTTGAATCTATCCAATTCAGCAAAAAATATCCATAAGCAGAGTCAAGATTTGTCATTTTCTGGTCGACAAAAAGTGGGTGTGATGCCAGCTAGGCGACAAACTATTTGCGGTTTTGAAGCTCGCAATTTTATAATGTTTGATGAAATGGAGCCCCTGGATCTTTCCAACAAGTCCCGACAAGAAAAGATCTCACGTTCTCCTATAGTTCAAGCTCAACCGCTTACGCAATCGCCGTTATCCACCGTACTGCAAACAAAGCCGATAGAGCTATCACCTGCTTTATTACCACCACAACTTCCATCACTACCCTTAACTACAACTACGATGCCGACTTCAGTGGATGGTGCTACGCTCTTGCCAGCTGCTCCACTTACTTCTGAAGCCTTGCTTAACAAACAATTCTACTCAAATTTGGATTTATTACGAATACCTCAAGTTCGAAACCCTGTAGCTGGACAGGGAAATACTGTTTCGGAAACTCCGCCATTGCCGTTGTCTTTGACACAGGCGCATCAACCACCAGCTCAGCCACCCCCAATCCTAACACCGCAACCTCTGCTTGTTGTAAACCCTGCTCCAATTCCTGTTGCTACCTCCAAAGTGGCTCCTAAGAAACGTAACAAGCCCTCAGTAATTACAAACCAAATTAATGCCGAATGCAATCAAATCGCAAATAACGTCTCTTCCAAGCAGGCGGTCAGCTCCAAAGATCAGATGATTGCCACTTCAAAAAAGGATTCCTCCTCCAAGGCCAAAGGACCGCTTCGCATGGATGAGGAGGTCATTAACCACATTGATGATGCCATAAATTCCGTTATAAATGCTGTTAAAGCTAGTTTGGATAATGAAGAAGCCGAAAGATCACAAGCGCTTTTCACATCCTCCCAACCAACTGCTGCCACTTCGTTGAAGACAACTGATGATGTAAATGTCACCAAGGAATCAGTTGGCGAGTTTAAATTTTTGACTGCTGCAAGACGAAACATGCGATCAAAGACATTAGACTGCCGCCCTGCAGCATTGAATAGAACACATGTCCAAAGCTCCCCATCTTTGTCGACTGAAGGCACTCATCCAAACGTCGCCGTAAACGCAAAAGCACCGCATCAACAAATCATAAGCGTTAGAAATATTGAAACATTAATGATTCCCGTAACTGATTCTAACAATACGTCTACATACGGTCCCACTACACTAGTTTCAAGCAGCAACCCTAAGAGCACGTCTGTAACAAGCAGCATAGCAAAACCAGAAACAGAAACAGAAAAGAGCAATGCGACGATGGTTATTAAAGAAATACAAAAGACAAACACTTGTGAGTCACAGGCTGCGAGTCATGTTACCGAAGTGTCTGCATCAAAAGTTCAAAACGAGGTTCCAAAACCTGCCCCTGAACCGGAGTTGGACTTTGAAGTGGTTAGTCCTAAAGTCCAGCCAATAATTTCTCAACAAAGTTCCTCTTTGGATAAAAATAACACAAGTGAAGGAGGTGGAAGAACTACTGCCTTAGCGGTTCTCTCAGACATCAATATGGACAAGAACGTCTTGGCTACAACGACCGCGAATATAAATACCAATTTAGATGTAGAACAAATGAGCAATAACAACAATACATCGTCTGGTTTCCACAGTTCGGCACAGTCAGATCAACAGACGTCCGTGATGTCTACAAATACCACTGCGTCCACCACCATACCAGTCATCGATACCAAAAAGAAACAAAGGCGGCGTCGTAAGAACGAATTGGCAGCGATAGTAGCTGATCAACTATTGGAGAGCTTTAAATTGGATAAAGCTCGTCGCGACAATTTAAAGAAATTGGAAAATTTGGCCTATGAGAAAAGTGAGGATCTACTCCTAACGGGAATGCTTTTAATGTCTAGCACCAAGAGAAATGTGGCTTCTTCTGCACCGACAACTACTAGTTCCACGACAACGGCAGCAGCAGCTGCCCCACCGGACAACGAGAACATACTGAAGCGATCCTCCAAACAGCATCAACATATCGAATCCTCTAAAGTCAATGACACCCACAGTTCTGTAAATCTGGATGAGCAAAATCCTGGCAATAATATTAAAAATCTCGTGGCAGAAAGTGCGGAAATTGGTGACAATAAGAAAAATACTAAACGCAGACAGTGTCGACGTCGAGGAAAAACTTTGGATAATGAAAACATTAGCAAGCTAAAGTCATCGCTAGAATCATTTTCAATAGACATTGAACGTCAACTAACCGAGTACGAGGCAAAGAATGTGAATGTATTTAAAAATGCTATTTCGAGCAGTGACGTTGGGAAATCACAGATGAACAACAAATCACAAACATCTCTTAACTCCAAAAGTACTGTAATTCTTCGGCCTAGTATTCTCTCGTTAACTCTGGAGGCAGGTGCTGTGCATCAGGATAATCAACAACCTGTCAAATCGTCAACTGCAATAACCGACGCGAACAAAACGGTAATTTCTAGTCGAGATCCTCGGCTCAATAAAAATATTCACAAGGAAGGGGAAAAAAGTTCGACAGTTGTGTCAGACAACAATGCTAAGGAGCAAGCACCGCCACAAAAGAGTCCCGAAGTTATTGGAGACCTGGACGAGGACAATTATTTGACAGAGATAGCAAAGAACGTCAATGAAAAAATTATGTCGACTGAAAATGAAGAGTTTGCATTTAAAGATGATGGCTTTGAAATGGCCAATGACATGGATATGGGCATAGACGATTCGAATAGTAAGTATTCACGACCCCCAACATCCATGAGCGTGCGAAGTGCGCCCAATTTCAACGATGATCGCTCCAATTTTGGATCTATATGCGATGAGAACACAAATACTGAAGTAATGGACATGGATTTGGACGACGAAATGAGTGTGTACACGAGCTATTCGCAAGACTTGGGTCGTGGGAGGGGCCGTCGAAGACGCCGAAGACGCAGTATACTGCTAACAAGAAAACCCAAAAAACGGGCGTCTAGTAGGGATATGTCCGGAGAAAAAATCGAATGTATTCTGTGCAAAAAAGTGTTTTACAGCGCTAACTCTTTAACCAAGCACAATATGACACTCGCTCACGTTTCCAAGGTATCGGAACAGGAGTACTTATTATCTAAGTCCATAACGAATTCATCATTAAGCATAGATAATAATCAGAAGCACGGTACCTTAGGACCTTATGCTCGAAGATCAACTAGGCGGGCGACAATATCAGAACCGCCAATGCATATGCAATCAAACTCAATGGACGACCTTCGTCCCACACATCCGCCAACGACAACCCCTATTCAGCTAGCATCGTCAATACAGCCACTTCCATTACCACAGACAGATCAAACACCCTTAAATGCACATCCGACCAACCACGAGACAGCTAGTTCAAAACCTGAAGAAACACCAGCGCCATTGTCTCAACAACTACAGTCGGATAATAATTTCGAACCATTGAAAACATTTAACCAAACCCATTTATTGAAAGACGTGCCTGTCAATGACTACGATGGCAACAATGGTAACATCGTCAATCCAGCATTCAATGGAAACTCACGATTAAACCTTAATCCGGATGAACGTTTGTTCTTTGAATGTTGCAACATTTTGAAAAGTGCCGAAACACCCCGACTTAATAATGTGATCGTTCCCGAAGTTGTTGAAGAATGTAACAACATCCATACGAACTATAACGCCTATACCTATAGGCAAGAGGAAAAATCTATGGCAGCTCCGGCAAACAACAGTGATTGCCTTAGGGACCGCCAACTTGTTAATATAGGCAATGTAGAACGAAGTGACATGCCACATAATGTTCCTCACATAACGACCAACAGTAATGTTGTACACCCGAATACGCAACAGCCACATATGGAGCAAAACACCATATTTAGAAATCCATCGCAAAACGTTCCCAGTAATTACAACAACCGATCTTTTCAAGAAAATAGGTAAGGTATAAAGTGGGGTATATATACTAGTCTATTCCTTCACAAATTTCATCTACTACCCTCTAAACCTTCCACATTATCCTAGCCGTAGATATTGTGAGGTGCTGATCAGTAATATAAAGACATTACAGAACATTCCAGTTACAACAATCATACATCATCCTTAGGTTAGGTGAGAAACTCCAAAGTCCTGAGTCAATTTGTTTTAAATTCATTAATCGATAATTAAACCCAAGACGTGTTTAATATTTTACATAGGAATTGATTAAACCTTAAAAATTTTTGGAGAAACTAGTTGGGTAGATTTAACAATTGTAACAAGTTACATTTTCAAGACTAGATACGATTCTAGCAGCTTTTACTTGAAGCTGCATTTTCTCTTCTCAACAAATTCTCATGTCAGTGAATTTCTATATTAAAGTCATCCATTGTTGTTAGTTTAAGGAAGACTGTTACCGTGAACGTTTTGTCATCTCTTATTCCTATCTCCTTTCTATATATTAAAAACCGGATATTTTTCAAACAGTTAATTAAACTATATAGTCCAATTTATTTCCAATATTTGTTATTATGGGGAAAACAATTGGTCCCGACATTTAGGCGGATTTCTGTTTTGACAACAAATAAATGTCATATTTTGTGTAAAATGGAAACCATGGTAGACATTTTTTCCACATCCTATTCCAGTACAACCTGCCAAATCAAAGATGCATATCCTTATAAGGTGTCACAGACAGTGCCATTCCAATATTGTTCGAAAAATTAATTACTGCAGTAATTTCACTCAAAATTGTAGTGGTCCCTCACAAACAATTTTAAAAAAGGAGTTATGTTACTAATTGCTAATTACGAATCGTGCCGTGTTAATTCGTGTACCTGATTCTGAGAGCGAACAACGTGATTGAAAGTTTTTTAATTTATTGAATCTTTCATATATTTTAATGAAAATAACAATAAGGCATACTAATATTTTTTATAGGAAGGTTGTCAATATATTTTTTTCATGCTTTAATTATTAATTATTGTTAATTTTATTTTTTTTTTAATATATAGATGTGTGTTTTTTGTGGGCTTGTGGATACTGTTATATCCGTGAATTAATTGAGTAGGTAGTTTAGATACAGTTATATCTAAGTGAAACGCGGACTACAGGAATAGTCTTACGGATATAATGTTGCTTTGTTTAGATACTGTTATATCTAATCATCCCGTGGACTACAGTAATAGTCTTATCGATTTCTTTACTAATCATCCCGCGGACTACAGTAAAAGTCTTATCGATTTCTTCACAGAAGCAGCTTCCAATTTAGCATACTACTACCTGTAGAAGTATTACAGTGGACGATGAAAAAAAAAAAAACGTTCAATTGGCCAGACAAGAGCTGAAAATAATGAGAGAGTAAAACAAAACATAAGCATGTGATAGAAAGAGTGTCACGTCTACGCAGTCTATCGTGTCCTCCGAATAGTAGGAGTTGGCGGGCCAAGCTATTTGGGTGCTCGGATAGTTTGTTTAAGTACTTTCGGCAAAGCTTCTTTATTTCTTCTTCAACAGTAAGCATATTTAGGTCCTTGTGGATGTTTGAGTTCCTTATGTACCATGGTGCACCTGTAATAGATCGAAGAATATTCGATTGTCTTCTTTGTAGTTTACTTACGTTAGAGGCACTAGCTGTGCCCCAGAGCTGTATGCCATACGTCCAAATTGGCTTTATTATAGTCTTATATAATAGGACTTTATATTCTAATTTAATAGAAGAACGTATACCAATTAACCACTCAAGATTGGCCTTTTTTAGTTTAATTTGTGTGATTTTTGCATCGATGTGTTGTTTGCATGTAAGTCTTCGGTCCAGGTGCATTCCGAGATATTTTACGGTATCTTTCTGTGGAACTTGAGTATTAAAGATTTTTATCGTGGGGCAAAATTCACGTCTTAGAGCAAAAGTAACGTGTATGCACTTGATTGCATTTACCGATATTCTCCATTTTGTAATTTTCGAGAAGATCTACATGGTTTTGTAGTTTTTCCGGCGCAATCATGTAATCCTTATCCATGCTAATGAAAGCAGTATCATCTGCAAACGTTGAGGTGAGAGCTTCATTGGTTGTGGGCATATCGGCAGTAAATAACACATACAGAATTGGACCTAAGGTACTACCCTGTGGGACGCCAGCCAATATTTTTCTCGAATTTGAAAGTACGTCTTTCGATTTAACAACAAACGTACGATTTGACAAATAACTACAAAAAAGTTTATGAATTCCAAGATGCCAGACTCTGTCAAACGCTTGGGAAATGTCTATAAATAACGCGGAGCAGTATTCATTCCTTTCGAATGCCATTCTAATGTTTGTGACTATGCGGTGCACTTCTCCAATAGTACTGTGGTTCTTACGGAAGCCGAATTGGTGGTCGGGGATAATATCGCTACTTGTAATATGGGGAGTTAACTTCCTTAGTAATGTTGTTTCGAACAGCTTTGAGAGTGTAGATAGAAGACTGATGGGTCTATATGATTTTACCTGCGTTGGATCTTTTCCAGGTTTCGGAATCATTACTATTTCCGATTCTTTCCATACAGACGGGAAGTAGCCTACTCGAAGAATGCTGTTAAATATAAATAACAATAGTTGGCGGCCGGTGATGGTAATTTCTTGAGCATGTTTGGAGTAATTCTATTTTTACCCGGGGATTTTTTTTAGTTTCATCGAGGCTATAGAACTTTCGATTTCTTTTGGAGAAAATCGTATTGGATTCGTAACAATGTCGTCAATTAGAGGTTGAGCAACTGTCGATGGTCCGGGATTAGGGGTAAATACAGATTCAAGGTGTTTGGCAAATGCGTTTACTTATTCTTCTGTAGTTCTTGCTCAAGTCCCATTTTCTAGGCGAATTGAAGATTCGTGGGCGATATGTCTATTCAAGTTTTTTGTGGCTTTTCATAAGCTGTAGTCAGTTCTCTCTGTGGGATCCAGGTTATTTAGGAATATTTTTAAGTTTCGTTCTTCATTTAATCTGAGTGCTTGTTTTAAGAATTTTTTACATCCTTTTAGTTTTTCCCGAAGTCTAGGTGAGCGGTGCTTCTGGCCTTCCTTTTATCAGACACGAGTTTTCGAATGGTCGATAGATTGTAGGAATTATTTTCTGGTTTAGAAAATTTAGTGGGAGTGGCAACATTGACGGCGGTGTTGACTATCGAAGTAAATATTTTAACTGCATTGTCAATTTCTTCTCCGGACTTTAGGGAGATGTTATAATTCACATGTGTACTGACATATTTTTTGTACTTCATCCAGTTTGTATATTTATTTGGTATATAATCCGGGGAAGTTGCGAGTTGAACATCATTTAATGTTATTATAGTTGGGGAATGGTCTGACGACAAGTCAAACGAGGGTACCACGGAAATTTGTTCCCTCTTAATATTCTTTGTTCCCGCAAAGTCAATTAAGTCAGTTACACCTCTGGGTGTAATAAGTCTAGATCTCCAGAAGGTGAGTTTTGCATTATAATCTCGAGCTGCAATGAATCTACTACCAAGCGATGAGAAAAAGTGTGCGAATTCGTCTTTGCTTATACTATGTCTCGGAGTCAATATATTGCAGATATAGTTGTATCTGTTGAAGATAGTGCAACTGTTGTAGCTTGTAGGTGGTCAAACTTTTATTCTGGCATGGGGTAATGCTGAATTTTATTAGAAATTATCACCGCGGTTCCACCGCAAGCTCTCCCACTAGGGTGTTTAGTGTCGAATGTACTGTTACCGTTTATTCTAAAACAGTTTCTAGAAGTGAAATGAGTTTCAGATACCAGTAAAATGTGTCTGTTAAGTGAGTGAATAAAGTTTTCGACCTCGTGTTTATGTTGGCTTAAGCCGTTTGCGTTCCAAAAACAGATTCGAATTTTATCTATTTTTGTTTTAAAACTATTTGCATTATCATAGATTGATTTCTCACAATTTCTTGCATCATGCTTCGCATACTTGTCATAAAGGAATTCATGGTGACGATTAGTTTTTCGATAGATGATTCTCAAAGTATCAGAATTTTAGTATTGCATATTCTGTGAGGGGAGATTGTAATTAGGAGCGGTGGTTTCATTCCTCTTGTTTAGCTCAGGGAACTCAGCTGTTTTGATATTAAATTATGGATTTTCCCGTACCAGGTAGCTTGCAGACTTTTTTGTGGCTAAGCTAGATTTTGTTAAGTGGATAAATACAGGACATCCTCTGTAGTTAGCAGTATGATCTCCACCGCAATTGCTGTACTTTTTGACACTTGGTCAGTTTTGGGATGTGGACATTCCGATGATTTGTGGAGGTCACCACAAGTAATACATACCGATAGCAATTTGCAATACGTTTTGGTTTGCCCATATTCTAGGCAGTTTGTACATTGAGGTTGGCCTTTTCTTTTTTGAGGTTCTTCTATTTTCACACCGCGATTACAAAGAAGCCTAAGGCTATAAATTGGATGAAATTGTCCCTTTTTATACCCTCCACCATACTATGGAGGGTATATTAACTTTGTCATTCCGTTTGTAACTCCTCGAAATACTCATGTCAGACCCAACAAAGTATATATATTCTTGATCAGCGTAAAATTCTAAGTCGATTTAGCGATGTCCGTCTGTCTGTCTGTCTGTCCGTCTGTCTGTCTGTCTGTTGTAATCACGCTATCTTTCGAATAAATTGAGATAGATGGCTAAAATTTTGCACACATGTTTATTTTTCCAGTAGGCAGGTTAAGTTCGTAAATGGGCCATGTAGGTCCACGTTTTCATATAGCTCCCATATAACGGTACCTCCGGATTTTCGGTATTTTGATGATTTTAGCGACGTTATTCACCGGAATTGATTCAAATTTGGTATTTTAAGTTCCAAATGGATACTACACCCTAAGATAGAAAATTATCTGTGCAAGTCTATGTCTTCGTACAGCCCCCATATAACGGTACCTCCCGATATTCGGTATTTTGATGATTTTAGCGACATTATTCACGGGAATTGTTTCAAATCTGGTATTTGAAGTTCCAAATGGATACTACACCCTAAGACAGAAAATTGTCTTTGCAGGTCCACGTCGTCGTATAGCCCCAATATAACAGTACCTCCCTATATTCGGTATTTTGATGATTTTAGCGACATTATTCACTGGAATTGTTTCAAATTTGGTATTTTAAGTTCCAAATGGATTCTACACCCTAAGACTGAAAATTGTCTGTGCAGGTCCACGTCTTCGTATTGCCCCCATATAACGGCACCTCGCTATGTTCGGTATTTTGATGATTTTAGCGACATTATTAACCGGAATTGTTTAAAATTTGATATTTGAAGTTCGTTATGGGAACTACAGTCTGTGACAGAAAATTGTCGGTGCGGGTCCAGTTTCGAATTTGAATATGGTAATGGCTTATGACAAACAATGCATATGTATGTCCACGTCGTATAGACCCCAACATAACGGCTATATTCGGTATTTTTAAAATTTTAACAGAATTTTTTAAGGATTTTATTTTTTGAAAATTTCCAAATTCGTTGTAAATGGTGGAGGGTATTAAAAGTTCGGCCCGGCCGAACTTACTGCTTTTTAACTTGTTCTTTAGTTGATTCGTATGTTAGTTCTACCTTAAACATAGGTTGCGGAACTTTATCTTTATTGAAAATGTTGATGATAGACTTTGTTGCGAATCCTTTTGCTGCGAGAGCATCTTTTATGTCCTCTATGGGTGTAGAACTATGAAGCCCTTTAATCACGACGACTAGTCCTTTTGAGCTCTTGATCTGATAGGTGTAATAATTCTTCTTTTCAGAATCCAGAGCACGAACTAGGTCCTTATAATGCGACTCAGTATAAGTTTGTATATTCGTCTCTTGGAGATTTCCTCTCTTAAGAGATACCACGTGAACGTTAGTGATTGAAAGTGCAATAAGAACAAATTCGGTATGACGTTTAATTTGTTTTTAAACTTAACAAAACGCCAACAGCGATTGTGCGGAAACCTTTTTCACGGTTAACAACGGCACCACTTTAGGTAATATAGTTGTATATTCCATTTCCCTAAAATTTCAAAATGTTGAATACTCTATGTATATATGTAGTTTGGTTTCAACTGCTTGAAGTGTTGAGAGATTTGGACCTACTGCTAACAACTATACATTCTGGGGAATGATGTGAAACTATTAAAATTAAATGTTTTAAAAAATAGTCTTGCATTTCAAATTTAACAATTCAAATTACAAAAATGTAACTTTTTGAAATTAAAATAATTTTTTTAAAATAAATTGTTTTGTTTACATTCTTGGACATATAATTCTGACACTTGTATTTCGTACAAAAAAATTGTACGTGGTTCTTTTTACGTTTGTTGTACCTGTATAATTCTACCATGCATTCTGTCCTACCTCGTAGTTATTGTCATGGTACAATATCTAAATTGTATGTGACAAGAATATTAAATATTAACATGTTCCGCACATTATGTCTTTGTTTTCTATTTTGAGTATCAATTGCTCTGTTCCAGAACTACAAGAATGTAAAACCTCTTACTACGATAAGAGATTTTTCCTTTAGGATATCGAAAGAATTGCAAAACTAGTAGATTCTTGTAGGATCTGGAACAAAACAAATTTACAATTTTATTTTTTCATATACAATGCTTACTTTTGTGCCAAATAAAATATTAAACGCATGCAAGTATTTTCGTAAATACCTAAAGCAACGTACAGTCTCTAACTCATTTTTGGGTTACCAATTAAAATGAAAATCTTACCAAATTCTGGGTTCTTATATAAACAAAAGCTGTGCAATGATGGAGAAATTGTTCCAACTTTTATTTGATTTCTCCACAGTTTCGTTGATATCTTGCCAGGGAATTTTTCGTTAACCATAGTACCTATACCAGGGCTTGACCCAGTTTAAAGCATTTTTTAGTGCATTAGGATTATTACCCCTTAAAAGTATTATAATTCAAATCACTCTACGGAGTGTCCTGGCCAACTTTGGCCCTTATGCTTACGTTCAATGGAGTTGTTTTCGGTTTGGTTATGGGTTTTAGACAAAATCTTCATGATTTTTTATACATAGTTTACACTTTTTACCTGTTCACAAATGAGTTTAGCTGTCCTAGTTGCTTTGTTGCATTCTTTTGTTAGTTTTCCCAGGCCTATTGAAAAGCCTTTATACCTTCTTGCCTTTATTACGATTTTTCCCAGTAATTCAGGGATTTTTATTTACTAAATAATATAAATAATCCAATAAAGTCAAATACACTAGATTGCATTATCAATTAAAGAAATAAAATATAAATAATTAAGGTTCCGACAATGCCCTAAAATTTAAAACTTAGAAAGGCAGATGTAGAATGAAGTTGTTCTTGATTGGAGAGATAGAGTAAGAGATGGAAAGGTTTATAGAGGCTACTACAGTTAGCCGGGTGGTCCGCTTAGCTAGGGAATGTTTTTGGTAAGCTGGGATCTGGATGGTGGGATCTGTGTTTGAAAAAAAAAACGTTACATGGGACATCTGCATGATAGGTGTTCAATCATCTCTATGTCTTCTTTATGTTCACATAGTTTACAGAAGTCAGGAATACTGTTATCCCATCTTGAGGTCAGACATCTGATACTGCAGGAGCCAGTCAGTATGCCTACCGAGATTCTTGGTCAGACCTACTAAATGGTAGAAGGGATCTTTTTCTTCTTATCTAGATTACCGGCTAGATGTCCTTAGTTATCACACAACCGGTCTCTAAGAGCCATCTTCTTCCATTCTCTTCGATGAGAGATTTTTTCGACTGGCTTGATAGCAAGAATATCCGCCTGAAAAATCGCTGCAATTGTATGGAGCTTATATTAATGTTTAATAACTGGGTTAGCGCAGAATACGCCAGACCAGAGGAGGTTTACCACCAGCCCAGGCGTCCCGATCATCGTAACGTTAATATAATTGATGTCGAAAATGGTGGACATGTAATCATTATTTCTATTACCTTCACATTGTATATACCGACCTATTGGTGTGGCCAGAATTCGTGCATAACGAAAATGTGAAAAGTACACCCTCCATCTTCTACGTAGTTTTCTTGCTGTTTGAAATCGAGCTAGGTTATCCAGTGGATTGAAATTTTGCAGCACATTCAATGCAGATTAGGGTTTGCGCTTGAGAGCTTCGGTTGCAGTAAGGACGCGGCTATAGTTAATTTTAACATGAGCGTTCTGGACTCAATCACATGCCACCAGACGATACATTCATAGATCAGAATAAGTAGACCACTGTGACGTGCATCCAGTGTACGACTTGTGGTCTGAGCCCCTAGTGATATTTAATACACGAAGAAAGATACTGTACAACTCCGTCCAGTACTGGCAGCGAAATTTATCTATTTTACGTAGTTCAAGATCATTATCAAGCGCCAGACAGCTGTACTAGTATACTTTGCACTTGGTTTAAAATAGTTGGAAGAAATCTACCACCTATCAGCACTGCTACGTCACCGGCATATTTGACTGCCTTTATTCGAAGTTGATCGAAACTCGCAAGTATTTCATTGGTCACCAGAAGCTATTGCAGGCGGGAGTGGTGTCCCTCTGTTAACAGTTTTCCTAATGGAACTCTCTCCCCAGCTCAAATTGATTATGCAGCTATTTAGCATTTTATCAAACAATTTAATCAGGATAGAGGAAATAGCAGAGTCATTGAGAGAATTATTGATCGACTCCAGTTTCACATTGCTCAAAGCTGCCTCTATATCAAAAAAAAAAAAAAATAGAGTTGTCCATACTTTTTCAATGCATCTGGCAACTTGGTGTAGGTCCGTTTCCACTGACTGATCTTTGTCGTAGCCGTATTGCGATGTAGTTATTATAACCTTTCTAAGGTTCATTAGAAAAAAAGGCAGGCTGGTATCCCAGCTTTGGGAATATAAGTCACCGTTATCTCTTCCTATAGACTGGGTACGAAACACAACCGAAGACAGACATTTAAATTCTCCTGCAAGATTGCCAACACCGACTCAGATGCATGTTGCAACACTGCCGGTATAATGTCATCAACCAGAAGATTTAAACCTTGGTATAACTTATATCCTTCCATTAGTATCTCATCTTCAGAGATAGTTGGTTATAGCTCACTAACTACCACCTCCATCCCTAATGACTTTCTAATGACTTCACTGTTGCTCTGGTTATTTTATAGTCGCCTGCGTCTATATCTTCTTTGCTTAGGAAATCATAATTTTCTCAGCGGTTGATGCAAGTTTATTTGCATCATGCGAAGTCCGTTCCGGTTACTACTGCCGGAGCGAAGCCACTACACACCGAAGTACAGCTCTTTTTCACTTTCCCTGATATAGTCCCACTACTCTTGTCAACTAGGAACTTCATGACAAGCCATCAGGGAGTGTGATGACTAGTTGTAAACATTTTCTTAAACGCTACGACCAGAAGATCTACCGGGCAGTCATCCGGGCATGCCATCTTTCCTCATGAACGTTAATTTCTTCTCCATTTCTTTTGAGTAAACCATACGTATATTGTGACCGACCCACTTTTGGTTTTCCCTGAAGTGGAATGAAGTTATATATAATATTGAGTCTGGGTCAGTAGTGGCTTCCGCTCCACAATAATCGTTTAACAGAAGTGGAAATAGAAACCATTCAGCTTCAATGAAACCTTCCTAAATTGAATCTCCGGGTGATATGGGATTACCGGAATATCAATGTAACGGTTGGCCAAGAAGATTGCCCCAGGAACGCTCTCCTGTCTCAGACCTAAACCATCACTATCCTCCAAGAGTTTGTGCGGAAACTCCGTCTGCCTCTATATTGTTTATTACCTAATAAGTGCTCCATCAAAACATTTACATATCTAGAAAATATTGTACATACATAGTTACATTTTACAATATACTTTTTGTATTGCAGGAATGTCAGATCTCCTACATACTCTGCCATTTCGCACTTATCGGCGGTCACTAATACAACGTCTCGATTTAAAACAAAGGCTGCAATGAAAGGATATGAGAATGTCAACATAGACATGGTTCAACAGCAAGAGTCAAAATCTAGGACAATCTGTAAGCTAACCGAATTAGCTGAAATTGCTTTGGGTAATGAAGATAAACCAAGCACGCATAGCTTTTCACCTATCCAGCGCAGTAACACACCAACGCGACCGTCGGCACAGAATATACCCAGTGCAACGAAAGCAGACGTAGCGGCCCTCGACGGTACACAGCGTTTAAAGAGTGTAGCAGCAGCAGCAGCAACAGACTACGCTACTCTCTTAGCGATTGAGAATCCAAAAGAGTCCAATGTACCACTCGTGTCACGAAACGATAGAACGAAAAATAATGAAACCCGCAGTTCAACATCTTCCAAGACAATTATGCATTCTTCAATAATCAAAGCTGCTGTTCAGGAGCATCAGAAAACAACTAGCTGTAACAAAATAATAATTCCGGACAGACCATTTAAGAACATTGGTCTTGAAGAAAAAGAAACCATAACGTTCCAAAAGCCCAAAACGCCGGCTGTTCACTTACTGACAGAAGACAACAATAGTGTGTCCACCGGTAGCTTTTCCGATAGAGATGATTACGATTTTGGCTCGCTAAGCTGTGACGAAGAAGCGAGTGTTCGCGAGAGCAATGAAAAAAATCCAAGAAATAACGCTACGGATTCGAGCTCTGAATCCAGTCGCGCAACTGCCAAGACCTTTGAAAACAAGTCCTTAATTATGGGTCGTATCTTTAAGAATGTCAGTACAAAAGCCGCTGTAAAAAATAATGTAGCGCCAGTTGTTAAAGTAAAGAGCGTAGGGGTACAGAAAGATCAAATTCCCACTCCAAAGGCGGACCTAAATCAGTTATTCGACGAGTTGAGAGGAAACTCTGGAGTAGAACATAATCTAAACGAAAGGGCTGCTGCGAACACTGGCACAATTGAAAGAACCCCCACAACAGTTGTAAACAGTCGGGTAAATCACAAACAGCATCAGCGAGATATGCTAAAGCATATAATACCATCAGCATCACCACCCGCTGTTGTAAGCTCAACTACAGCAACACCATCGACAAGTGCCCGCAAAGCTAAAGGCCGAGAATCCAGAGCAAAGCCTAAAACAACACCAAAAACATCGAAAGATATTTCAAAACTTCAAACGGAGCTAGGCATGAGTCCGGATGAAATCAAGCAGTTGATAGATGAAGGTCAGCGAAAATCAAAACGGCGCTGTGCCACAAATCGTCCCAAAAAGTTGGTTGAAATGTGGAGTTCCGATGAATATGAAGAATTCCTTTCAACCAAAGACATTATAGCTTTAATTGAGGAGAAGGAACAGCAAGAAGAAAAGCGCAAGAAACGTAAAAATAGTATAAATATATCGTCCAATAATAGCGAAGTAGCCAAAGAAAAAGATATAGCAGACGTCACATCCAGCACAAAAGACAATAAACGGAGAAATAATCGAAAAGTAAATACAAGCCTTGATTTCCCTGAAGATCATGGCACCGTCGAAACAAAATCAAGCAAGGCGAAAAGGTCCGGAAAAGAAGATCTTGTCAGTACCACCGGACTACCTATAGCTGAAAATATCAGCACTGCTAACAGTGGTAAAGAAAAACGATCAACAGCAAAGGGCAAATCAAAAGCTAAACAACAAAGTCAAAAAACTGTAAAGACGCCGAAATCTAAAAAAGAGCCCAAGTCAAAGGTGTGCCGGAAACCAGTTGAAGATAACGACTATGAGGAATTTGACGCCAATAACAGCGACTTCGGTGATGATGACTACTTAATAGCGGATCTTATCAAGAATAAAAAATCATCAGCAAAGGCAAAATCATCTAAAGCTACTGTAATATCTGCTCCCACCGTTACGTCGACAGCGAAATCTTCGAAAGCATCGGCAAAAGTCACAGCTCAGCCAAGTCGAAAAAGATCGACCAATAACAGTGGTAATTACACAAACGTCTTAGCGGCAACGGAATCGGCCAAAGGCCAAAAACAGACGACATCTGCAACAGTAAAAAATAAACGAAAGAATCAAACGAATCAGTCACCTCCTAGACGAAAGCGACTTGCAACGGAAAAACTATATTACTGGTCATCGTCTAGTGACGAGGAGTTTGGACGCATCAGCAACAACGCCAAAGACAATTCTGTTGTTCCTAACTCGGATGGAGGTGGAGGGGCTGTGGGTGCGAGCGCCGTCGTTGGAGCAGGAAGTGGCACTGGTGGCGCTGGCGGTTGTGGCGGTGAACAGTACCAGAAGCACGGCTGGATTGTAGGCGATTCTCACAAAAAACTGGTAACATTATTGGCCATTGCAAAAGGTAATAAAAAAGTTGATTCCAATTGTGGCGTTAAAAAGAATGTTCCCAAGAAACGTAATTAATTGAAGTGACAAACTGTGCTTATGTTGTATTCTTCATAAGCATATATATATATACACACACACACACAAAACAATACATCTGTAGTCTCTATAATGTAATGAGTAAGTAACATAATTTACATACCAATGTAAAATTTTAATGTTTTGTTTCTCGTTATGTATATTGAGGTGTTTTTAATAAAATTGTTTTTTTTCTTTTCGTTGTCCAATACCAGATGCTGATATATAAAAAAAGTGGTATTTGGAAATATTTTTAATTTCAATTTCAAAAATATTCAATGCTTTGATGACAGTGCAGAGCGAAAACTGTGTACAACATTTTATCTGCGATGTTTCGGTATTTTTTTTTTCGGGAATTCCATAAAAAAATCCTTTTAGAAACGAATATAAATCAATACAAGAAATTCGAGTGTTAAACATTAACTTTTGAGGCTTAAAGAGCAACAAAGCGTTTTTCAAAGAGTTCCTTGAAATCAAAAAACGATGTACAACATGAAGTAGGTGGAAAATTGTTGAAGAATAGAAAGAACAAAGCGGAAAGGGAAATAGGCTGACATCCCAAGTGCACAAAAAACAATGTAGGTGTTTCGATATTGAATGAAAATATGCGTTTTCCAAATGGAAAAACTGTTAGATTCTTGCAAGTTTTGAAACACGGAAACAAAAACGGTATTATACTTTACGAAACGCTGACGACGATGGTGCGGAACATTTTTTTCATGGTATAAAAATTACGAATTTGTGTAATATTTTTTTTTTCTAAAATTGCAAGATTTAGTATTTTATGTGTTTTGAGTTCAATTTGAAAGGGATGTGGTTTTTTACGATTTCCTAGCCAAGATTCGTACTTGCAGTTGACCATCATGGATTAAAATTAAACATTGTAGGAATATATGTTCTGCGTTTTTAATTTAATTTAATAATATAAGTACGATTTTGAAATTTTAATAATTTTTGAAAAAAAAAGTTTTTACAATGATAACAGATTTTCCCATTATGATATCGGAAAAAAATTGCAAAACTAGTACATTCTTGCAGGAACAAAGCATATACCTATTACTGAACGTGCGTTACAAAAGTGCTCACCTTTCCCTCTATAGTGAAATATGCTGTACGTTCATATTTCGTGAACATCTTTAATGCAAAAGAATGAAATTAAAAAAAAAAATAATGTAATACCTCCAATGTTATGCGCTCTATACTCTGTGGGCATGCCGGGCATGTGTGTACAAATTTAAAGCAGTATTAAATGATTTTGAAAATGAAACCTTTTCAACTAAAATTTATTCTTAAATTTGCCAACAAAAACGAAAAATATTTTGTATTTTTAAACAAGTATTTTGAGTTTTTTATTGACAACGCGATTTTTTGAAGGAAAAATTTGAATTGGACTATTGATTGTCAGATCACATGCGTGTACAACATATGCTGTCAATTATTCATGGTTAGTCTTAATCTAGGAAATGGTACGCCAAAAATAAATCTTTCACTGAATTGCATGTTATTCATTTGCCTGTTGGGGCGTTTATTAAAACTCAACACGAAGTTGGGACCAACTTTACAATAGACTCAAATAATCTGGGTTCAACAGGTTCTTTATATTAATCGTTGTACAAAGTATAGTGCAAGTTAAAGTATAGACAAAGAAATTGGAATTTTTGAAGTCAGCCAATTAACAAGATTTGTAAGGTCGTAGGCACCATATAAGTTGTATGGCAAATCAATTGAATTTTATATTCGCCTCGTTCTACACTGACATACAATAGTCTCTGTTTCCAAAGCCTACAAAATATTTTATTACCACTTGCTATTTATTCATCTTATAATTGATAGTTAGTTATGAAGCCACAGCAATTCTCATCTCAGCAAGAGAGAGGAAAAAAGTTAGCCACCCGAGGTTACCAACAAGATTGTAATTATAAATTGTAAAAAGTGTCAAATATCGGGTTATGGCATTTGGGCAGCTGTTTTGAGGAATGCATGTGGCTTTATCTTCATTATAAATTGGCTTGGTAGAAATGAATTTTAATACTGTGCAATAAGAATTTTCGAATGCAAAAAATCATTCGGATGATGAAAGCCCTTAGTGAATATATTAGGAAATCTCCGCCGTTGCATTTTGTCAACAATGCAAGACATTAAATCATATATTTAATGCGTGATAAAGGATTTTTATTTAAATCTATAACAAATTTGCTTCGTTCGCCATAATATTGATTTTAAATTTCTTTCTAATACTCGTCGATTTAATTCTTAAGTTAGGGTCATCTACTGCCAATATTTTTTTATATTATTTTAACATTTCCCCAATGCCATTGCGCATACACTACTATGGTGCAATTTGCTTTCAATCCAAAATCTATTCGTTCCGATGCACATACATTAATTTCATTTCATTTCTATTATATTTTGTATATTATCTTTTTGTAGTCATTTTGTCTTCCTTCTTTAACTTTTTAATTTTTTTCAAAAATGTATGTGTTTTTTGTATATAAAAGAAGAAACGTAACGAATAGCATTAATGTTATTTGATCAATTCCAACATTGGGCCTTGCGCGGACAAATAGCCAATAATTTATATCGTAAACTCTCTGATCCAGTTATCATAGAGTAGCTCTATTATTATGGCCCACTGCGTGTGCAGTGTTATAGAAATTAGCATCTAATGTCGTCTACTACTACTACTACTACTACTTGTATGTATTAAGTGTAAATTTCATATACGATTAAGTAGCACCTAAGAAATCCTTGTCGTTGTACTATTATTATTATTAATTTCACAAAACTTTATGTAAGTACCATTAAGACGATGATGCTATTATTAATTATTTAATGTAATAATATATACAACAACACAACACAATATAAACAGCAAAGAAAACAACAAATGTAATGTAGATTCTAGCATAGATTTCTAGTATAATTTATATAGTTTATTTCATAAGCAGTGTGCTATATTATATAATGCAACATTACGTGCAGATATGAAAGCAACAATTAGTAATACTGATAATATTTAATAACAAAACAACAAAGAAAACAAATTGTTGTACGATTGATTAATCACTATGTTCAAAGGAAATAATATTTTAAACATTAACATTATTTGTATGTGTTACGTACTGTAATTTAGAACTTTTGAATTGAATAATTTCAAATATAAAATTATATATAATCATAAAAAAAAACAGAAAAACAAAAAAAAAAAAAAAACACACAAAACAAACAACATTAACACATCATATAAACAACAGATATAAATAAAGCAAAGCTTATAATAAAAATGAGAAATATGTAAGCCATTTTAAACCAAAATACTGTTTTGTTTAATTGTCAAATAGATATGGGTCCGGTTGAGGCAAAGTATAAAAAAATAAGTTAGCACTACAGGGTGAGATAAAACACTGCAACAAAGTCAAACGCCATAATTTCTCCATTTTTTTTTAAATTTTACTGAATGAAAGCAGAAAATGTCGGAAATAGCATCAAATTTTAGAATTGGTCACCTTTGGCACGAATTATGGCCTTCAAAGGTCAATGAAACCGAATGTTGCTCTGCGGTGTTTTAGCGAAGCGCTTGCTTGAGGTGATCAACACTTTGGTAATTTTTTAATTTCAAAATACTCCAGACACAATAGTCCATCAGATTGGAACCGGAGATTTGGGTGGCCATTGTGCGCTGGAAATGAAGCGAGGAACCTCATTTTGCAACATTTCTTTGGTGGCGCGTGCTGAATGCGATGATGCTGAGTCCTGTTGATCTGCGGCCAAAATGTTTGCGTGCCCAAGGCTATAATACGGCCTTCAGAATATTTTCGCGATTATATTCGGCATTTATTCCGATGCCACGGTCGATTAGTACGAGCGGAGAGCGAACATCAGCTGTTAAGGCGGCCCACACCATCACCATGGCCGGAGCTTGAGTTCTGGTGGCCAACCAAAGGTGCACATTTTCAGCTGACCTCTTTGGCAAGTAAACACGATCATTTTGTTCGTTTACAAACCGCTGGACAACGAATGTTTTCTCATCGGAGAAAACCAACTGCCGAATCACCACTTTTGGCCAAGCGAAGAAACTCTTTAGCTCTTTTGAGTATATTTTCTTTCTGCTGCGGTGTAAGTTCTTGCACTTTTTGGAATTTCAAGGGCTTTACTCCGAGCTCATTTTTCAATATTTGCCGAATGGAATATTGCGATATGTTCAGCTCACGAGCCATTTTTCGGCCACTGTGGTGCGGGTTTCGATCAAGTCACTTCTTTAATTTTCGAATCATTTCTGCTGATGTTGCTGTTTTTTTCCCGTCAATTTCCTTCCAACGTCGAGTTACGCTACCAGCATATATGGCCAACGTTAGGACAAAATGCAATAATAACACTATTGCCGCCAAATGTTATTTTAAAATCGTCGTTTGACATCTTATACTCTATTAGAGTATAACATCATGCTATGGTAATTTTCGCAATGACGTCATCTTAATATTCTGTATGAATGGGTATTATAAGTTTGTTGCATCAAAGTTGATGAACGTTTTGGTTCGTCGGGCCATTAAAAAATATTAATCAAACTCCAGGCCGCAATTATGGACCGATCATCACCCCTATTCGATGTTCGCAACATATTAAGCGGGGATGTGGACAAAATATCATATTTCTTAGAATTGAAGAATACGATGAATATCGAAATATTGTTAGATATTTTCATGTTGTTTGTTAGAATATAATTAGTAATTATTTATTTAGTCCACATCACACGCTTAATATGTCGCAATTGCTGGCCCTTAGTTTTAGTGTTAGTATTTATCATTTATGGGTAAAGCAATTCGACATTTTAGCAATTCAAGAAAAAATCTAGTTTTTTTAACACACCATTTTTAGGAGATTTTTATAATAAACCGTAAATATGATAATTGTTTTGAAACCCTAATTTACGAAAACCAAGAGCAGCAATTGTCTATTTATCTGTTTCGGAAAAGAGAGGAAAAAAACTCGAAAAGTCAAATGGGATAGGTGACCAATTTCAGGAGCAAATACAAAGTCAGGAGCAAAAAAATAGCAAGTAATATGGGTTGCTGCCTCTTTGATGAAGCTGTCAAAGCCCTTCTTCCTTTAACAATCTTATTGCGTCTCAAAGCTACCAATAACGAAACTGATGCTAAGCCTATAATGACAAAAAGTAAAAACAAATTCATCCTTCCCATTGCTAGGTCAGGTGCGAAATTGGATAATAACGGTCCACTCAATCAAGAAACTTACCCACAAAGGGTCAAAATTTTGAATAATTATAATTCTTATAAAATGTAATGAAAGAGACCGATTGTCTTCAAATTACAGTTTTCACAATATTTTTATTAACCCAAGGCCTGGTGTGAAGATGGAATATATCGGTCCACTCCTTCTGGTACCTCCCCCACATTTTGAATATTCATTAAGCTCTTAAAACACGAAATTAGAATTGAAGAATACGATGAATATCGTAATATTGTTACATAATTTCATGTTGTTTGTTAGAATACAATTAGTAATTATTTATTTAGTCCACATCACCCGCTTTATATGTCGCGATTGCTGGCCCTTAGTTTTAGCAATTCACGAAAAAATCGAGCTTTCTTAACACACCCTTTTAGGAGATTTTTATAATAAACCGTAAATATGATGATTGTTTTGGAATCCTAATTTAAGAAAACCAAGAGCAGCAATTGTCTATTTATCTGTTGCGGAAATGAAAGGAAAAAAACTCGAAAAGTCCATTGAGATAGGTAACCAATTTCAGGAGCCAATACAAAGTCAGGAGCAAAACAAGTAAAAAAGCAGTAAGTTCGGCTGGGCCGAACTTTGACAACCCTCCAACTGTTAACATCTTAAAAATACCGAATATAGCCGTTATATTAGAGTCTGTACGACGTGGACCTACATAGGCATTGTTTGTCATAAGCCATTACCATATTCAAATTCGAAACTTGAAATAAACGGTGAATAATGTATCTAAAATCATCAAAATACCGTATGTAGGGTATAATACGGCCTCCAGAATATTTTCGCGATTATATTCGGCATTTATTCTGATAGAAGCTATACGAAGACCTGGACCTGCATAGACAATTTTCTGTCATAGGCTGTAGCTTCCATTACTAATTTCAAATACGACATCTCTAACAATTTCGGTGAGTATTGTACCTAAAATCGTCAAAATAACGAATATAGGGAAGTGCTGATATATGGGGCTTATACGAAGACCTGGACCTGCATAGACAATTTTCTGTCACAGACTGTAGTTCCCATTACGAACTCTAAATGAGTAATTTGAAATCACTACGGTGAATAATGACGCTAAAATCGTCAAAATACCGAATATTGGGAGGTACCGTTATATGGGGGCTATACGAAGACGTGGACCTGCACAGACAATTTTCTGTCTTTGGCTGTAGTATCCATTTCGAACTCCAAATGCATAATTTGAAAATATTCCGGTGAATAATGCTCTAAAATAATCAAAATACCGAATATTAGGAGGTGCCGTTATATGGGAGCTATATGAAAACGTGGACCTATGTGTGGACCCATTTACGAACTTAACCTGCCTACTGGAAAAATGATCATGTGTGCAAAATTTTAGCCTTCTATATCAATTCGTTCGAAAGATAGCGTGATTACAACAGACTGACGGACATGGCTAAATCGTCTTAGAATTTTACGCTGATCAAGAATATATATACCTTGATGGGTCTGACATGAGTATTTCGAGGAGTTACAAACGGAATGATAAAATTAATATACCCTCCATAGTATGATGGGGGGTATAAAAAACGTAAGTAATATTGGTTGCTGCCTCTTTGATGAAGCTGTCAAAATCCTTCCTTCAACAACCTCTTCGGTCTGGTGTGAAGATGGAATATATCGGTCCACTCCTTCTGGTTCCTCCCCCACAAAGGTTCAAAATTAAAATCCGATTCCATTCATACTTCGGATGTCTCAATATTTCCATTCCTTCTGGTACCTTGCCCACAAAGGGTCAACGTTTTGAATAAAGAAAACGATCATAAAATTCTCAATAAGCATCCGGAAATATTCAAACTACACACATCGCATTATTTTTATTAACCAAAGGTCTGATGCGAAGATGGAATATATCGGTCCACCCCTTCTGGTACCTCCCCAGCAAGGGGTCAAAATTTTGAGTACCCATTAAGCTCATAAAACAGGAAATTAACATCAAATTCCATTTAGACTTGGTACATTTCATTATTTCAATCAACACAAGATCTGTTGTAAAGGTGGTTGAGATCGGACCATTTCTTCTGGTAACTCACCCACATAGAGTTCAATCTTTTTGAAAAACAAAACGCTCAAAGAAATCGAAATAAGCATCCAACTCTTTTCAAATTCCACACATCGAAATATATTTTTTTAACGTAGGATTTGTTGTGAAAGTGATATATATCTTCGAACCCCTTTTTAGTACCTCACCCACAAAAAATCACAAATGTCATAACTTGCGAAATTAGTCGGCGATTCTTTACAACTTGCTATATCTAAATATTTCTCTTAACCAGAAATCTGATATGAATATTGAATTTGTCGGAATTTATGACTTCCAATAAAATTGGATATAAATGTTCGATTTCCTTCAAATTTAGCACATACCAGTATTTTTATCTGTATTAGATGCAATATGAATACGGAATGCTTCAATCCGCTATATCTGTTACCTCACGCATATTTCCACATTTTCCAAAAATTTGTACATACCTCATAAAAAGTAAAGGAAGTAAATAGTTGATATTGTCCAAATATGGTCCGTTTTAATATTTATATCAGTCTTAGGCCAGATACGAATTGGTCAATATTCCCCAACTTCGGAATCTCCACCCAAAAAAAGTCAACATAAATCACAACTCAAGGCTGGGGGTACACATCTGTCATCAAAACCGACTGATACTATTTTACTTGTTGATATAAATAATATCCCGACTAAATAGAAATAAATACCTATGGCAAAAATGTCAATACATGTTCACGTAGCGGTCGATTTAAAGTGTTTGAAATCAGCTATAGGCTTTGATTTGAGAGGCAAACACCTAAATTATATATCACATATATTAAAAAGTATATATTGACTGTTTTTAATAACCCTATGGAACTTGTAATGTTTAGAAGATGGTGCTGCGTGGTATTTAGTTTTGTCCACCTCATAATTTAGGGCAGAATGATTTCAGAATAGTCAAAGTTAATTATTTGTTTATATCCATTACCATAACACCTAAAATTTTACGTCAAAGTCCCCATAACGTCTATATTTGATCACAGTGAATTTCAAT